CCAGGGCGTCCGGCGTCCCCCGGCCGAACCCCTTCCTCGCGCCTCCGCTCCCGGCTCTCGCCTCCCCTTGCCAGAGTCTCGTCAGTCCCTTCCTGTAGCTGCAGCCGCCTCTGGAGGAGCGCGTCCACCTCTGGTCACCATGCCCAGCAAAACCAAGTACAACCTTGTGGACGATGGGCACGACCTGCGGATCCCCTTGCACAACGAGGACGCCTTCCAGCACGGTATCTGCTTTGAGGCCAAGGTGAGGGGGACCGTGTCTTAGAGTATGGGATGCACAACCGCGCTGGAGGCAGAATTGGTGGGGTGAACTGATTAGGGGGCCTTTCTATTGGAGAGGGTGACTCCCCCTCCTCAATCCAATTTCGCAGGCTCCTGCCCGGAACTGCTAAGCCGCAGCTGCAAAGTTTGAGCGGTATTGCTTCACCCCCTTCCTTCCACCTGCAGACTCCCCGATTCTTACCCCTCTAGGACTGGATTGAGTTACTTCCCGGATCCCTCCTTCTGAGGAGGGCCAGGCCAGTGCAGCGTGGACACCTGGTCCTTTAGAATAGGTTTAGGGAAGCTCTGATGTTATTTACCTGTTGGGCTTCTCTCGTGGGAGAGGAGCTTGTAGGAAGGTCTTCTAAAGGAGGGAAGGCTCACTTCCTCAGGAAAAGCCTTTTCCTCATCGAAGTTCGGGGGTGTTTCTCTAGACTCCAGGTAACCGGGGTCAGATGTCAGCCACTTCCTAAATGCTTAATTTGCCAGCACTCCTTGTCAATGCCAGTCATTGAGGGAGGGGACGGTGAAAGTTGCCCATTTGATAGTTTTGTGGCTTACTATTATGTTTAGCAGCTAGTAGGAGACTGCTGCTGAAGAATGTAGGAAGGGTGACTGGAATTTTCAGCACTCAGGCCCAAGCCCCAGGTCCATCTTTTGGGGGTGGGCTTGGGGAATGTCCAGATCCGTGTACTGGACCATCAGATGTGAAGAAGGCTGCCCCCTTGTGATGCTCCTTCCTGAGTGAGAAGTTCTGGTTTTTGAAATTCCAGTTGGGGTTCCAGCTGACGGTCACTTGGGAAGAGTGCTTCTCTGTAGAAAAGTGTTTCTGCTTTCTTTATGACACTTGACACTCCCCTCCCCCTGCTTTAAAGACCCAGCAATGCTCAGCACTTACTGTGTACCTGTCACTGTTAAGTGAAAGTATTGCCTTTCTGGTAAGTTGTATCTTGCAGGTTTCAAAAGCATAATACTTTAGACATGGAGACAGTTTTACTCTTTGTTCCCATTTTCTCCCTGATTATGTAGATGCAGGATGTTAGTATTTCATGCAAGGATTATTTCATCAGGTGCCTAGTTCCTTGAAATCAGGAAACATTTTTTAAGTGTGATATGTGCCTGATGCTGTCAGTTATCTTCAGATTATTTTTCTTCTCATGGAGCTGTGGAATAAAAAAGTTATTTTTTCCCTAGAGTAACCTTTCTCCAAGCATATCTGCTAGAGCTAGGAGACCTCTCCACCCTCCACCTCCCATAGACATCAGACACTGCTGCGGAATGCAGAGCTGAATTACTGGGTATGACTGGGGCCAGAGTGGATCTGTAGCTGAGATGTTATTTTGCTTCTCTCGGAATAGATCTGGTTGGTCTAAGATGGGGTGTTTGGGTTAATTTTTGTCTAGGCCTGTTGATTTGGTGAGCAGAATTTGTTTACTTATTTTTATTTTAAGGTATGAGGTTTTTTTTTTTTTTTTTTTTTTATCAGGGTCATGATTTAATTTTCTTGGATGTACATAAACTGGAAATTGATGCTTGTCTCATTGGTTTTCCAGTACCCTGTTTTACAAGAATGAGGGTAAGAAGGGAGATCAGATTTAAACTGTTTTTAAGTCTTTTTATTATTTTCTAAGTCTTCAGCATTAGAAGAGGTTAGAGCAGCAGCTCTCAAAACCTAGTGTGTGTAAGAATCATCAGGGGAGAGTATTAAAAATTTTGATTCTTGCCACCCCAATTCTAATGTGGTATATCTGGAGCAGCCCAGGAATGAGTACCTTTAATGAGCATTCTAGGTGATTCAGTGTAGGTGATTGGGACCAGACTTTGAGAAATACTTGGCTCCAGGCTTCCTTCCAACTTGCTGGATTGTACCCTCCCTTTCCCAACTCTAAGTGTGCAGTTTCTTTTCTAAGCAAATGTCTGGGGGCTGTGAGATGTAGTTCCTATAGTAACTGCCTTGCATTCACAGTGATGCTAGATAGAAGTTGTTGTTCTTAGGTGCCTTTGAATAGATTCCGACTCATTGGAACCCCATGTGATAGTAGACCTGCCCCATAGCGTTTTCTAGGTTATAATCTTTATAGCAGCAGGTTGTCCAGTTTTGCTCCCGTGGAGTTGCTGGGTGGGTTTGAACTGCCAACCTTTCTATCAACCAAGTGCTTAACCATTGTGCCAAAGGGCTCCTTCAATAAGAGGAGAAGGAACCATAAGTGGTCTAAGCTATGTTCCTGATTTAGATGTGAGATACAGAGGCTGAAAGTTTCTGCTTTGAGCGTGGTGATATAGAGAAGATGAGACAGGAGGGAAAAGGGGAGGTTTCCCTGGGCAAAGGCTGACTCTGAGGCTAGTCCTAACTCCCAGCTCTTAGTAATTGATGCTGGATACCAGCACATTCAACCACCACGTCAACCAGGAATTCTGTAGAAGTGGAAGCAAATACTTTTTTATTCCATGTGTACCCACCAGGCTCCTTTTCTGGCTGGTTTCCCCATCCCAGTAGAGCAGTGTCCAAGTGACTGCACAATCACTGGGATTTCAGGGTTAAGTCCAAACCACACTCTCCTTGTTTTGAAAAAGCACAGGGAGCTCTGGTGGTGTAGTGCCTAAGGCATTTGACTGCTAACCAGAAGGCTGGTGGTTCAAACCCAGCACCCACTGCTTGGAAGGAAGGTTAGGCAATCTACTTCATAGAGATACTGCCTCGGAAACTCAAGGAGGGGTCGCTATGAGTTGGATCAGACTCAACAACAGTGAGTTTGGTTTTTTTTTTTTTTTTTTTTTGGTAAAATGCAAATGCGTTATGTTGCTGCTGCCTTTTCAGGTACCTTAGGAAAATAATCCCAAGTGTGGTCTTTTTCTCCCAAGGACTGGTAGTTTTTCAGAATCAACACTGTATAAAAATCTTAGACTATATGCTCGTTTTCAGGGTTTTACAGAGATTGAAAGGCTAGAATTAGGCTTGAAGGACATCAGGGTAGCAGAGATTCTGTGTGCTTACACACACATACACACACACAGAGCATGCACTTAATTATCTAGCAGGATCCCAGATGTTTTTCACCTACAGAGCCTCATTTAATTCTCACTGCTCCCCTATGAGACGGGTCTCCTTATGTCTGTTTTATAAATGAGTATGTAGGAGCTCTGGTAGCATAGTGGCTAAAGCACTTGACTGCTAACCAGGAGGCTGGCGGTTTAAACCCACCAGCCACTCCTCGGAAGGAAGGTTGGGCAGTCCTACTTCCGTAGTGATCCTGCCTCGGAAACCCAAGGAGGGGTCTCTATGAGTCGGGGCCGACTTGACGGCACATAGCAACAACAACAACATGTAGGCTCAGGGAGGTTGTTGCCTGTCTTGATGGTCACAGCTATGTATGGCAAAGCCAGGCTTCAAACCTGGGAACTCTGACTTGAGACTCCCAAATCTAGTATTTATTCATTCAATATAGTTTTTATGGAGTATCCACTCTGTGGAGCCACTGGGTGGTGTAAATGGCTAACATACTCAGCTACTAAGCAAACAATTGGAAGCTCAAGTTCACCCAGGGTTGCCTTGGAAGAAAGAAACATGAATAAATGAAAAATCAGCCACTGAAAACTCTATGGAGCACAATTCCACTCTGACCCGCATGGGGTCACCATGAGTCAGTGTCAACTCAATGGCAGCTAGTGGATCCACTCTGAACTGGGCAGTGGTCTGATTCATGGCTCACTAGTGGGGCATCCTCAGCTTGCTGGCCTCTAGGTCTCTGATGTAGGAAATTATCCAAGCTTGTAATGCTGGCTTGGGCCCATATTTCTTTTTGGGCTGAGACCTTTCTACCTTCATTACTGGCTCGTGGTTCACTGACCTGTGCTAGTGGTCAAGTGGTAAAATCTCACATAGCTTGAAAGCTTTGGCCTTTTAGTACCTATGTCTCTTCTTCTCAGTTGCCTTTCTGGAGGACAGTGCCATCAACTGAATGTCTCTACTTGTTTGGTAAGAAGGAGAAAAAAATGGGACAGTGGGACTTCTAATAATGGTGCAAAGGATTAATAAGGGTAATAATAATCTGGTTTTGTCTTATGTTTGTAGATGATTTATGATATGCATGGGACTTTCACATACAAGAAATTTCCCTCTTATAGGAAAGAAACAGTGTAATCTACATTTTTCAGGTTGGAAAAATTGGGAATCAAAGAGATTAATTTGTCCAGAGTCATAGAACTGAGAAGTGTCAGAAAGTAATGATTACTGGTGATATTTATTGAGCACCTACTATGTTTAGAGGAGCTCTGGTAGCATAGTGCCTAAGGCACTTGACTGCTAACCAGAAGGCTGGCAGTTCAAACCTACCAGCCACTCCTTGGAAGGAAGTTTGGGCAATCTACTTCCGTAGTGATACTGCCTCAGAAACCTAAGGAGGGGTTGCTATGAGTTGGGGCCGACTCGATAGCCCATAACAACAACACTATGTTTTAGATGTTGCCTCATTTAATCCTCATACTCCAGAGCTTTGACTTCTAGTCCACATCACATACTCTGAGGCTCACCTGATCCTGAGGTGATTGTTCCCTCAATCTGCATATCATTCATTGCTAAGACCTTTCACTGATAATGGCCTGTATTGTATGGGCTATCAGATCTGGAAAGTACCTTTGCTCACCTAGTACAGCTCCCTCACTTTACAGATTAGGAAATTGAAGTCCAGAGAGGGGAAGTCACTAATCCCAGCTAAATAATGATAGGGCCAGGATTATTCTCTAGTTCTCTGGCTTTAGATTGGTTTCAGTTATCTATTGCTAGGTAACCAACTACCTCAAAACTCAATGGCTTAAAACAACAACTGTTTTATTTGCTTATAATTCTGTGGGTGAGAAGTTTAGGCTGGGCTTGGCTAGATGGTTCTTCTGGTGCATGTGGTGCTGCCTGGGTCACTCACTTGGCTGTACTCAGCCTGTGACTGGTCTGGAAAGTTCTAGAAGATTTCCTTCATATGGTTGGTG